GTTGTTCGTAAACCATTTCAGTGATTATATAACTGTATTTAACTTTAGTATAATACACAATGCAAACTAAATCACATGCACCATGCGCGATAACGCGTACTAATTTCTCGATGACTGCATAATATGCATTAGGTATATGGTTTTTGTTCATCATGCGTGCGATGTAATTCATAGTACCTATATTCAGCAACGAGTGTCAATATTTTTTTCATACAAATCGTTCGTCAACAAATCCACAACCGTCGTACGCATATACACACAAAGGCAGGTCGTGTGCATGTAATTTATTACCTTATGTATACATTATTTGATATGATAGAGCGAGAAGAGAGATATAAAAAGAAATGGGGATCTCATCTCTGGGATGGTACGCAATAATTTACAGAGTGTCCGTCGCGTTTACTCGTACGCATAAATCGCCACAAATCGCATTCGCGTTTCGGATTGAATATTGTACGAGTTTTTAGTGGAATTTATTTCTCAGCTCTCGGTTTTTTTAGTATTATTTTTTTTTTTCAGAACCATTGGCTCAGAACGTGACGGTAGACGCGGACGCACCATTCGAGGACGAGCAGCTGGTTGGGGGAGCGGTGGATCCGCCTTGGGACTCGCCTGACACCAGTAAGTGTTTTTAATATATTCATSTGGCCGTTGTTGTTTTATTTTTTTTATTCGATTTACCCTGGGTGGGGTGGTAAWGGTAAGGATAGAAGTGGATTGGGTGGCATCATTTATTAACGAGGTGCGATCCCTGAAGAGACGACTGACTCCAATATTTGGACTGGGAACGAAGCTATATGGTACATTTATATTGTATATAAGAATACCTACTGTAGAAGCTGTACAGTCTTCGTCAAATTGTATTATTTATTTTTATTAATTTTTCCCTCTATACCCTTAAAAGCACACCAGCCATCTAACGGTTATACGGTATGGAAGGAGGTTCATAATATACTACTTAACCACTTATTTTTTCCCAAAGGACCTATTATTTTGATTTAGAGAAATACAATATTTTGCGGAAGTCTGTAAGTTAGCACCAAGAATGTACGAGTATATCTATTTTGTTGTCAGGGATCGTTCATTAAATTTTCAATGTGATGAATAGACTATCAAGCCTCGGTCCGATAGAGTAGTTTAATTGAATTCTGGTTTAAAAACGCAAATTTTTTTAAATTTGAAAATAATATTATTTCATATGTATGTTAACAGAATAAATAAAAAATAAAAATGTAGGTATTCTTTTGCACTTTTGACCAAATTGAACATTTATTCGATTTTGACTGAAAGTGACCTGAGGGCGATTCGCAATTTTCAAACACAAATCCTATTTGAACTAAACCTTTTTAATCAGAGTGCAATTAGACTAATTCAAGTACACTTCTATACTTTACCCCGGGCTGGGGACGAGCGAGATGCTATTGACAGATGGCTCCATTGTATTCATAAAATCCTATGCCTAGATGTAAACTATTCGTATGTCATCCCCGTGGAAGATTACATTTCCTGCATGCATAAGGGATGAACATTATTTTTCTTACTTCAGTAAAATGCATAGATACCTATARCCGAATTATTCACTAAGTAAAACACGTCCATGTTAACAGCTGCTCACAAGGAAAAAGATGACAGGACCGGAGGAGGGCTGGTGGAAGTGCTCATCGGCGTGCTGACGGCCGCCACACTCATCTTGCTTGGGATTTGTGCCATTGTATTAGCTTTGAGCCGACGTAAAAAACATCAGACAATCAGYACATCAATATTTAAAAAGCCGTTTGGTGTAGCCATCAACATGAAAGACATATTCATGAACCTGTCTCCACACAACAACAACACTACTGGCATTAGCAACAACAACAATAACAACCATAATCACGGTTTGGGAATCGGAGGTGGTAACCGGCACATCACTGAGAACCCATTGGTGATYGATGAACAGATGCACAGTGACAGTTTCGCGTCGGATCCTTACGACAAATCACAACACGTCGTTTACGAAACGCCGCTGTTGGCCCGCAAAGACTACGAGACGATTCGCAGTAGTAAAGGTATATAGCGATAGTATTCAATTTAAACATAGTAGTATACGCACCTAACCTAT